CGGTTTCCCACATTTTTCTCTTTTAAAGGAGAATCCATTGTTAAAGTTTGTTGCTCAATTTTGAAAGTTTGTACATGACCCTTTCATATATTCTTGCGACGCACTTCTGGGTCGCAACACATGGGTTGAGAAATGCTGGTCTAGTGCAACTCCCCCTGCCTGAGGCAGGCTCATCCCTAATGTTTTAGTAGCGCCTGACATGTCTGCAGTCCTGGTTTGTCCACTTCAGCCACCAGGCAGGAGCTGCCCTCTTCCATCATAGAATCATAGAGGAGTAGGGCTGGAAGGGAGCTCCAGTGGGCATGGGAAAGTGGGGAAGTAGGGAGTGAGGGGATCCTTGAGAGCACCCCCACCCCACACTGCTGTAGCCTTAGTTAATAAAGGAGAAATAGAACTGAACTTCTCAGCTGGAAACACCTGAAAGCCCTTGATTATCACCAGCTACAATACATTCTCTATGTCAGTTGGAAGGGCAGAAGAACGAATACCAGCATTCTGGATCACGCAAACACCAACAGCATCAGACCTGGGTGTATATGGTACTAGCTTCATTGGGTGGGACATGTTATAACGATGCCTGACAACTGGCTCCCAAAATAGGTTTTGTACTTGCAACTTGCCAGTAGTCAACACTCTAGAAATGGGCAAACAATGAGATTCCAGCACACCTTGATGGCCAATCTGAAGGAACATGATAGTAACATCAAAACCTGGGAGACTTGAGTGCTGAATTGTCCCCAGTGGCACCATGAAATAGGAAAAGGCATCAAGTATTCAAGCAAACTTGCTTCACTATGGAGGTGGTTAAGCAAGAGAGACAACAGGGAAGATTTGTGACTTGACTTCACCAGGACCCACTCCTTTTCCCTGAAACCATTTGCTATGTCTGTAGTTGAACATGCACTCTTCAGTCATTTCCAGACTCACAGATGACTTTCCTTTCTAATGGAAGACCATCATCCTCATATTGAGGGATTGCCACTGCTGAGTTACAAAACATTCAGTGCATCTTAATATGCGTGTGTGGTTTGTGGACAGTCAAGTGACAGTTCAGGGACATGCCTGTAAAAATGAGATTTTGAGAAAGCCTCAGTCTCTTTGCACTGTAGCAAAATCCTTCCTTGTGTTCAAGGGGGAAAATGTTTAATGCCACAGAGACATGCTCTCAGGGATGTAGGCAACTGTTAAAAGGGGATACAAATGATTCACAAGTCTGTTGTGGAGATTCACTGGATGCTGAATAATGTTTGTAATGAATTATGAACAAAAAGTTTTGAATGAATGCTGTGTTATTTGTTAAACACTTTCTTCATAGTTGCTGCTATCCATAAGATAGATAAATAAAATAAAAATAAAAGGTTCTCAGGAATTAGTATTAAAGTGAAACTTTCCAATCTATTTTCTTGCTTAGACAAAGATAATTTACAGTAACCTTTGGGGACTGTGTAACAAATCATAATGTAAATTTATTTTTAAGTGAATTTTATTGACATTGTTTGACTGGCATGGCCCTTGACAAAACATACTGCTACATTCTGCTACAACTAATGCCTTCTGAAAATTACTAAATATAATACAAAAAAATGACAATGCCTTGTAAATACAAATTGAATGGTTAGCAATGGTCAAATGCAGTACCATTTCCATTTACTGTACTTGCTGGGAGAGAAAAAAAAGGTCTGGAAATGTAAAAGATTGGAGATTAGGGACTGACTAAACTTTCTGAAGAGTTAAATCTTTTTGCTTATGCTTCAGAACAATCTGAGCAGTTTCTTTCCATCTGTATT